ACAAACCTCAGGTCTAGAAAGCTTCAGTAGTCAAAACCTTCTTCTGTAGGGGAAGTGTTGCACCACTGAAACAAATGGATTTACTGCACTGCTAGTACAACTGGATATTTAGGGAGAATTCACTTTTTCAGGACTGTTCTCCACCCCGTGTTGCCAGAAACCAATTTGTGGTTTTTTGCAAGAATAGTCATATTGCACCATGGGGTTTTCCGACAGGGTTAAAGAGTCAAGCAACAGCTCCTCATCTTTCTTCTTCTGATCCTCCTCTTAGCATTTTTAATCCCATAGTGAGGAAGAGGAAGTGGAGCAGAAAAAAGAAGTGTTTTTTTTACTACTAGTATATGGCAGAATGTCATTTGCAGAACGTATTACCTGTAAATTAGCAAAAAATGGGATAGCACTATTCCAGGTATGCCTTTTCACATCCTGACAGAAACAACTTTGCCACCATTTTAGCTCCTGGCAACTTTTCTTTCTATTCCCAGACTGTTGCCCTTTGCTTTCCCTTCTCTGGAGGCAGCAGTTCCATTGTTCCTGGTGCCTCACACAGCTCACATCCACTCACTTCCATCTGTTCTCATTCTTACACAGCATTTCTGCAAAATGTATCCTAAAGAAGCCTCAGGGTATTTTACTTGGTGCCCTAGTAATGATGTTCTCTTATGTGAGCACTTGAGAAAGATGACAGGTTGACTCTAATCTACTCCACGCAGGTGCCATTTGAATTTTAATTATCCCCAGCTAAAAATTCTACTTTCAGGCCATCCTTCTTTATATATGAATTTAAGATGACAATTTTCATATGAGGAGATTCATTCCTAGTGACTGTAGACAGCTAATAGAGACATCTAAGCTAGGATCCTAATCAGCAAAAAGAGCAGGGTATTTATCTCTCTCCAGAGACTGTGAGCAGGGCTCAGTTAAAGGCCTGAAGCTGACTCAGCAGAAGCCAGGCTGTATTCTCTGCTTCTCATTTGCCCAGGAAGAATCCTGCTCAGGAGTTGTCCCCTCAGAAGGAGTTCTTGGGGAAAATGGAGCTCCAAGAGGACACTGCTGCTGTCAGCAGCACAATATGATGGCTGGGATGTCGTGTTTTTAGCTGCAGAGTGACACCTTTATCTCACCATCCTCAAGTTCCCACATTTGTGGGAACAGAGCAGGGAATTCAGAGAAGCACAACCTGCAGTGCCAGTAAAGCCCAGGGTAATTCAGATACCATAAAACATCTTATGTCCCTCAGCCACAGCCAGCCACTCCAAGGCACCTTGCACAGACTGTAGCCCTGCAAAATGTGGTCATATCCAGAGCTGAAATACACTATACTATTGTCTGCTTCAGCTTAGGGAAGAATTTAGGAATTTTTATTTCTTTTTAACTTTATTGTAAAGGTAATGCCATTTCTGTTAATGATTCCAGCACTCTAGTCAGTATTAAGTATCCAGCTGTCACTGCTAGATCCTGTACATGAAATACAAGCAGAAAATTAAACCAGCTTATAATAATTGATATTTCCAGACTATAATCTTGGCTTCTCTTTAAATCCATTCAGAATTGTTTGCGACCCGTTGCTGAATATGAATGGGCTGTTTCACCCGTGAAGGATGAGTGCTCAGTTCCTTCCCTGGTTATGAAAGATCCATAACTCACAAAGGCTGCAAGGCCAGAGCAAGTGGCAAAGATTTGTCTTTTTTTTTCTCCAAGCAAGTCAAAGAATCATAACCACACTTCATGTATGAGACAGTCTATTTGTTCATCTTTGCTATGCTCTTTTAAATTAAGTTTTTTAAAAAGGGACAAAACACTTGCATCAGATAGTAAACAGAAGGCTGGTGCTGGATAATTAGTACTTTGGAGCTTGTTGGATAAGCCAAAAACAATTTTAAAATTTTTTAAATATTGCGTTGCCAGCATTATTTGGGTTTTTCTTTGGGGCATATTTTCACCACAATGAATAAAAAAAGTAATACTGAAAGAAATATTTTGTTTGATTAGACATTAAATATATTGTTTCATTTGGCACCATATTTATCACTTAATTTTCTAAAAAACCTTAAATTTCAATCCAACATTCTATTTTAATGACTTGATGTACATAGGAGATAAAAACAAATGAAGCTAAGCACAGCAATGTGAATGTCAAAGGACACCTGAGCACTGGCACAATCATGGAAGGGGAAATAAGCACAGGTGTAGAAGCAGAAAAGGACATTGACGCACAAAGTCAGGTTTCATGCCTGAGTTTTAGGCCCTGCTTCCTACCCTGACTCTTTGGGCAGCTCCACCGTGACCCACCACAAAGCACCACACCACCTTACAGGACCTTACCCAGGGATGCTGAGGGATATCCAGCCCCAGTCTGGGATGGAGCACTGTCCTGTCCCCACGGTTCTCTGGGAATTCACAACAGATACACTCTCTGATAGTGCAGACAGCCCCCTGCACAATCACAGCCCTCTGAAAAGAACTGCATGGAAATTCCACCCCTGCAATAAAAATCAGAGGCAGACATTGAATTGTACTTACCAGACACTTCTGACTTTGCATTCTACCCAATAATCCATTTCTGCTGGAAGTATTTGGAACATGTCAAACATCCAAGAGCTGCAAGACACTCAAATTTATTTTGTCACTCTAACAGGTTTCCTCCTCCTCACCAACATCTCTGCTCCAGCCTTTCTCTCCCCAAACTGCTTTGGACCTAAATGCTGAACCCAAAAGATTGAGTGCTGGATTTAAAAATAAATATTATGTCACTCTGCAGAGCTAGAAATGGGAGCCTTTCCCTCCCGTGATTAAATGTTGCCAGCCTCCCCATGGGTTTCAGTGTATTTGTTTCCGGCCCTGAAGATTTCAGGATTGTAAAGTGACATTTTAACTGTTCTTACAGGAAATGCATATTTCTCATACAAACAGGTTTTTAAACCTTGGGGAGCATATCCTGAAAGGGTATCCATGGCTCTTACAGCACAATAAATTGGTTACTGTTAATTGCACTATCAGCTGTACACATCAACCAAGTCAGCTGCTCCCTTGTCTGGCAGAGACGGGTCCTGGCATTGGAGAACATCACAGGTGATTTCCTTGCAGAGCTTCACAGACAAGTAAGTGTTCCCATAAAATATTAAGGTATTTGTCAAATAGTTTACTTCCCAAATAGTCTATTAGATGTAGCAATGGAATGCAAATTCTTTTGCCAGTAACAACACTGAAAAGAGCATTGGCAAATCCGTAACCTGCATTTCCTCTTTATTATTTCATCTATTATCATTTCATCATTAGTAAATTTGGTAAGCTTTTTCACTTTAAGAGAAGTACCTTTATCTGATTCTTGCTCATTATTAGTTTTAAAATTTAATAATAGGAATAGAAAAACATAAAATTTTCAATTATTAGAATTATTAAATATAAAAATATTAGAAAAATATTTTTACTACATTTTATGCTCAGTACAAGCAGAACATTGGTAGCATAAGCAAAAAGATCTCAGCTCAGCACAGTTTTTCTGTGTGCAACAGAATAAAACTTAGTTTCTTATAGTAAAATAATTTTCTTTATTAAAGGGTTGTGTCCTTTACTGCTGCCAAAGAAAATATCAAATAGATGAACTTTTTCTGCTCTCTTATCCCTGGGCAATAATAATTTGTGTTTCTTTCCTCTACCTAGCTACTGGTTTCCAAATTCTAAACCACTACTCCAGCTAAGTGGAATTCAAACATGCATTACTACAAATAAAATAAAAATGTTTTGCTATAAATCTCTTTCGTCTGCCTTCAGCTTCAAAGGACTTGGAGTTGGACCGGTTTTACCCTCAGTTCCCAGAAGTAATTGAGATCTGTAAGTGCCCTTCAATTCCTATAATGCATTTATATTAAAATTATACTAGATCTCAGGTTGCTCTGTGGAAATGTTTTAGAGCTGACATAACAAACATCAGCCAAGGCAGTAAGCACAATACATCCTGTTGCTCTCTGCTGCATGCAGCAAAAATGAGAAAAAATATAAACATAAAAGATATAAAAAACATTTCAAAATTCTTTAGGCAACTTTTATGCTTCTACCTACTATTAATATTGTAATTAAAAATTTGTTTGAGCTAGATATTAAGGTTGAATTTTTCCTTTTTTCTGAACCAACTCAGATTGTTAAGCAGAGCTAATTTTCTATTCATAATTACCAAAGAGAAAAAAAAAAAGGCAAAAAAGTCAAGGAACTCAAACATGCCTTGCAAGACATTTTGGGAGTTTTCCCAATTAGTCAAGGATTTTCTCAATATAAACATTCGGCCCTGTCAAAAAGGAGAACAAATGTAGGATTTGTATGTACGTATCACATATAGAACATGAATTTCTGAGGGTCTGTGCCAATATTATTTCAAAAGCCCGCTGAGATTTCTAGGGGAAAAAAAAAATATTTGCATCGTAATTTCTGTATTTATTTCCTTTCTTTATTTCAACATGAATTATAAATAACAATTAAGATTTACAAAACACCTACTTTTATGGAAGGCTCAGTCTCTAATAAAAACTAGAGTCACTCTAGATGCTCACTGTGAAAGCTCCCTATTTATCTCAGTAAAATGTAGTGGAAATGATCATAGGAAAAGGTAATTATTATTTTTACTTTCTTGAAATTATAAACAGGAATGTGTTATTTCCTATGAAATAAAAATCTTTTAAGAATTTTCATTAGTAAAAAACCTCCCAAGATGTAAGCTTGGTAGTGAAACAAGGTGTTCAACATTTACATTGTTCCCTCCAGAATGGATTTCTGAGTAGAATATTTTTCAAAGTTACACCAGATATCAATGATATCAGGCTTAGGTCCTAGAGCTGTAGGCTGCCATGACTTTTACAGAATGAAAATTATTGTTATCTGTATGTACTGGGAAGAATTAAGAGTCTCAATTTACTTCAGGCACTGCTTGCCAGATTTCCAGCATCCAGAGTGTAATATTTTTTAGGTGACACATTTTAAGCTTGTGGGTTTGAAGAAACACATACCTCAGGCAAACAGGCACATAAAGTAGGGCACACCTTTCCATCTCATTAGAGGGCTGTATTTCTGAATCCAAACACGTCTTCCTCCTGTCATGCCTCTTCTTAAGATAAATATTCCAGTCATAGTGAGACAAACACTTCCTAAATGTGATTTTCTTCAAATCAAAGATGGTCCACATTGAAGTTCCAGCTACAAGCAGCACTTCTTTATGAGGATGTTTAATTCTTCAAGAGCCATCTGAGATATGAATGTGATGAACAAATGACAGGAGAAGGTTTTTGTTAGTATATAAACACAATAATTAAGAGTTAACTATGTCTAATTTTCTTCCAAGCATTTCCAGCTGTTTTACTGAAAGAAGCAAATAAAGATGTAAACATGAAAATTTCTTCTGCAGTCTTGTCAGGACTTGGCATTTCTATTTTTCTCCTTACCATTTATGAACAAAATTACATTTGTGAAAAGTAATGAATTAATTTAACACTCAACATCCATATTCTCAAGAGTGAATTCTCTCAGGCACCCTCCCACCACCACATTGACTGACATTGTGTCCAACAGCCCTGAGCAGCCAGTTGGGCTCTTTAACTAGGCACTAAATATCCCTGGATCTGGTTGTGTCGGGATTAGAGGGCTGAGGGTGGACATCCATCCCATCATGTCACACACAGCTTGATGTATGTGCCAGGCTGCTCAGCTGTCACTGAGCTGGAGCTGCACACAGCCCAGCTGGATGAACCCATTCCATGTCAACACTACCAAGCAAACCCATCCTCACTGGTTTGTGCACGGCAATGAGTCTCAGTTCATGTAAGATGTATTTCTTATTTCCTAAGAATGCACATTGCTAATTATCTCAGATCACGTTTTCTGCACTACTTCGCCAAAAGGTCCTTGTCTGAATTGCATCTGTCCCTCATCTTAGCATTGCTTTACTTTTGATTTATATTCACATGATTACTGTTATGATTTTATATACACATATATAAAGCATAAATGTTTTACCAGCATAAACAGCACCATTACATGCTATATTTATTACATGAGACACTCCATAATTGATTGCTAAATGCTACATAGTTAAATTTTCCTTTCCCTGAACAGAATCATGACGTTCAAATATATATTTAAAAATAGAGTGCTGCCAATGGCTTTAAATAAATACCGTACAGCACAAAATACTCATTGCAGGCATCAGCTGCAGTTTACTTTTGTTTAAGGCTGTTTAAGCTTGTTTTTAAAAATACAAGCAGTTTTAAAGGAATTAATCAATTTCCCAAAGGTTGTTTCCATACCAGCCATGACAATGTTAAGCTTAAAACATTTTTAAAGGATTTTACGAGGAAGTTTTATCATTAAAAAAGTAAATTTTGGCTGTTATTGTGATAGTCTGAATATCAGACCCATGTACACAAACACATCAGCTCACAGTGTTCATACATTTAATTTCAATAATCATTCCCTAAATTCTGTACTCTTTTCAGAACAAACAATTGGAAAAACGCAAAGAACTTAATTCAATTTCAAGCTGTAATTTTGCTATCAAAAGGTATTTCTAGACACAAACACAGAAGAGGCTATTTGTGCCTTAATTATTATTAGCATACAGTAAGGTCTCACCTGCTGCTTGTAAGTAGGAACCTGTCACAGTTTGTACAATTGCTAAGGTATACACAGAAGGGAATTTCCATATGATTCAAGCACTTCCTTTCTAAATTCTCTACTGTATACTCTGTAAATCCCATACTATTGCTCATTAAGGAATGCTGTAGCATTGCCAGAGGTGGTAGCTGTAAGGAAGAATTGTTTATGCAGTGCAGGAAATTAATGTAAAGGTTTCCTAAGAGAATACTCATCACTGGACTTGTTTAGCTTGTTGTAATTATTCTAAAGGGTACTGAAACAAAGGAAGGAAAGTGTTTGTTTCATTTTGTTTTGCTTTTCTCTAACAAAAAAGGGGGAGGGATGAGAGTTACAATAATTACTTGAGATATTTGGTATATGAAATTTATTTTCTGAACTGCTGTGCACTTTTTAAAGTTAATTGTGCCATAAATCAAAACTGCATTATACATTTCAAATGTCTGAATATGCTCTGAGTGCAGACTATAAAGGAAGTTTTTCGAAATCTATATGCTGAGCCAGATCTATGAATTGATCCCATTACTCTAAAGATTAGAGTTAGTTAAAGGTATGCTTTTTAGTTTGTCTGCTAGACCTTGTCAGACAAACTAAATATTATGTGTATTGCACAGATCCCAATTAATGCTTCCCAGATATAAAGCAGGATTAGTTTTCAATTGACTGTGCAGATTTTGCATCATCATTTGAGTCCTCTTGCTGAAGGCTGCTGTACAGATGCCTCACTAGAATATATCCAGTATTCTATTCATAATTCCAGTATTCTATTCATAATTCCCTATGAAAATGTGGGGAAGTGCAGAGAAAGAAATCAGGAAACAAGGGATGATTTGCAATCAGGGTGCCTGGCATCTGACACAGCTGAACACCCAAAGCTCACTTGTGGAATTAGCCTGATCATGCAGCATGGGAATTTCCAGCTGGACATCCCAACCATTCTGAACTACTTTAAAATAACTTTCCCTCTTGAGAAGCAGAGATTTAGTCATCAATATTCATTTCTTTCAAAGAAAAAACCCTGTCCTTGTTCCCTGAATGCTCCCCTTTGAAAGAAGAGGGAATATCCTGTCTGAGAGACCCACACCAATCAATGTCCTAATTAGTCAGGATTCTTTCATCGAAAATGATTTTTTACTTTAGAAATGTCATTTCTTTAAAAATCAAAGCTTCTCTGCAGAAGTGCATCGCTTTCAAATAATTAAGGTCTGGCACAAATTAACTCAGGCCTGTGATTAGCTGAGGGCCTAATGATTGAGGCACTTCCTGAGGATGTGGAAGATCCTGGTTCCAACCCAGCCTGCCTGATTCAGACCAGGAATTCCAACCCCACAATCCCTCACATCCCCAGCAAATTCTTCCCCTTTTGCTCTGGCAGTCAGTCCCTCCTTTATCAAAGGACATGTCTTTGTACAAATAGAACAACAGCAAAAGCTTTGGGAGATCCATCCCAGCCTGCTGTAAGCAACAGCAGTGCCCTGACTGGGGCATCCATGCAGCCCATGGATGGATATGCAAGGCTGAGACAGCATTCAGCTGCCCAATTAGGGGACTCCAGTGCCATTTCAAACACCTCAGTGTCAGCCATCTCTTCTGCAGCTATGACAGAGTGAACTGCAGGCCTGGAGGATGACCTGTGCCCAAATGAGAGAGTTTAAGGCATCTCTCATGGTTATGTTAATTCATCTCTCATGGTTATGTTAATGTTAAATCTCTCTCATGTAAATGGCCAAGCCAAAACTTGAATGTGCACTGCCAAAGTCCTCTGTGAATAAAATGAGTTGGCTGAATATCAGCTGCTCTGAATGAGCCTTCTCTCAAAATCTCAGTTAAAGTCTTTCTCTTAAAATCTCGGTTAAACTTTAGATAGTTTCTTTTTTAACGCCAATAATTTTCTGCCATACAAGAACTGTTGGTCTGCAAAGTTAAGTCTGAGATAAGTGCTCAGGGTGTCTCCCAGTGTGCCTTTGTATAGATAAGAAGTGAAGTTAATAGCAACACCCTGTTTTTCAGCATAAGCTACTAAATATTGTCAAGATAATTCTAAGGGAGAAATCAATCCCATACCCTGTGGGTATGTAAGTCTTGCAGTCTACCCAAAACTGAAACACATCTGGTTTACCAAGCCAGGCTGCATGTGTGCACTAATAATAGCTGTGTTTCACTGTCTGACTGGCATCTACACTGTTTTCTCCAGGAGAAAATTACCTAAAACAGCGTGTCCTTGAGAACAAAGCTGCTGCAAGCTCGCTATGGGAATCCTATGGTATAGTTTACTACCATTTGTGTCATTCTATTTAATTTGCTATTTCTTCCTTCCACCATGTGGGTAATAATCACAGCAAATTGATTCCCATGAGTTCCTTGGACAATTAAAGCTATTTGGTTATTGCCACCTGCCTGCTGTTTCCATTAATGCAATTTTCAGGACTTTTTTTTTCCTTCCTGCTTCTCACCCCAGTAAATTCTTTGCCCAGTCTTGACACATTGCTGTGCTGCAATTAGAGTTAAAATGCTATGGAAGACATCTGTCCCTGAATCCAATCAGTCACACTTCCAAATATTGCTTTGTCATATACAAATTTAATTTTGGGAATTCATAAAATTTAGCTTTTTTTTTTTAATACACAGTCTAAGGGAAACATACTTCTACTGATATACTATTTTTAATCAGATTATGAATAGCTTGGCTATTATTTCTGTAACCATTTGTGGTTACAATATATTTGTGATATTTACTAAATTGCCTGTTCTAACTTCTCTGTTAAATACACGTATGAGAGAGGAAAATATGTGCTGTATTTATCTTTGCATGTGTTCGTTTTTCCTTTTTGTCATGTCTTTAACCTTTTCTTTCTTAGAATGTTTTGGCTTTGCTCCTCTATTGCTCTAGTTCACTATCAGCCTTTTCAGATCTGCATTCTTAAAATAAGAACTATGCCTTGTGTTGTGATCTCTCTTTCTTTCCAAGATCAAACTGGCCACTGACTTTTGTGGAGAAAAAAGGCAAAAAGCAGGATAAGGTCATGGATCATAGAAGTAACGATGAAAAAGGGAAGAATGAAATGAAAGGTCTCAGTCCCAGTTCTGTCAAGGAAAATTGAAGTTGCGCTTTATACAGCAGCTAGAACAAGAGGGAATCTGAAACTTATTTCAGCTTTTAAAAATGCAGTCAAATAGAACTAGATTTCCTTGTTAACCTTCTTTAACTGCTACAGTCAGATCACAGAATCACAGAATATTCTGAGATGGAAGGCACACACAAGGACCATCAAGTCCAACTCTTGAGTGAAGAGCCTGATGCATTTGCCGTTCATAGCCAGAGCTCCTCACACCAAAGCATCCAGGTTAAGAGGTTGCAGTGGGATAAACACATTGCAGGAGTCATCCTTGCATCAATCTGATCATCACAAATAGCTGATCAACTCACAGACTGATGGACTCACTAACTTCTCACTGAACAAATACGAGCTTATACTGTTCTTCACTTTGCAGGTGGCAATGAGGAAAAAAAAAACTATGAAAAATAGCCTTGATTTTACCCATTGCTATTACTCTTTTTTCAGCCAGTCAAGTTTGTACATGAAGATATTTAGACA